CACCTTAGATTGATATTCCCACAAAACCATTCAGGTTTTTTGATATCCATACATCCCTACAGTTGAATATTTTTCGTTGTTCAGGAACTGAACAAACATCCACACTATATTCACAGCGATTAAGAAATTCCAAAATATATGCCTTAAAGCTACCAGCAAACCTAAAACCTGCAAAAAAAACTAAAAATTTGCCATATTTTTCTATTTTCACGAGTACACATTTTAGGTTATATTTATATTAGACATTATTTGAATTCAGCTGATTATTGCATTTCAAGGAGTGACACATGTGTGGGATCTGTCAACTCTTGGTACCAGTCAGAAAACATGTACTCTGAAGGTTTAATTCCATGCTATTCAATGACAACACGGTGACTTGTGTGGTTTGCAGCGGCCATTTTGTGAGGGTGCGACAGGGTTGCCAGATTGTGCATTAATATCCCGTTTCACCCTCCTGGTCCCAGTGGAGTAAGTTCCGCCAACTGTTGAAATATACTGATGCTTTATAAGACTATTTGTGACATTTTTCCCAAAATCATTGCACAACCCTTGAAAAATGCAAATGAAAATTTAAAATTATTTCCATGACGCCGCAAAATGGCTCCGTCGGTACCTTGGGTTATACATTTTGACAGTAGGAATGTTCGATACGATCCTATAATTAGAAGTATCAATACATTTCACGAGTATCGTTATCTTTCGATCCGGACTGTGTCAGAAAGAGTGACTGCCATTTGGCTGCGCCATTACCCTGCCAAATCGGGCATATCTTTCATCATTTTCAAAGAAATTGTACAAAATCTTCAAATTTGTGAAGTTAGCGAGTTTCACTTCATACGTTCTTACCAGATATGCCCAAATCATCAGTTGCTGCCCTGATATTCATCCCGACCACTGCATCCCCACGGCTAGGCGACCTGTATGTTAAATTTGTATTGATAGGGCAGCGGGTTATGCTATAAATCATATGTCACAGTGTTTGTGCACTGATTTCAACGGTTAGATGATACCAAAAATATTTTCATAAATAGGGAGATCTTTCCCATTCCGGATCGAACAATCTACCAAAGATGCTTATAATCATGTTACCTAGTAAATTTTCACGAAAAAAATTCAAAACCAGCAAATGTAAAAGATTCATTTCGCACCCTCCACACGGGACGTGATCGTCGTTAGACTTGGCAACCCTGCGAGTGACAGATAGATATCCCCGCCAGTCAACGACCGCCAGTCAAAAACACAAACAATAAACATTACTAGTTTTGATGATTTTTGGACTTAAAAGACATTATTTGTGAAACATTTTTCATAATTTTTTGTCTATGTCCATAGTAATTGCATTATGCATCAGGGAGATGTAGGGATTGAGACGTCTTACACATATTATCTGTGTTTTAGGGTGGAGAGGACATAATGTTTTTATTGCTTTGACGAAATTCATTATCCCATAAACTATTGTGACGTAAAGGAAGATAAGGAATTGGATGGAATGTATTTTATATTCTATATTCTTGCAAAATAAAGACAAATCCACACCATTCAACAGGTATGTAATGATAATTTTCAGTATATTGAAGTTAGTAAATTCGAGAGTGCCATGCTATGCATTAACAAACGTCCAAGTCTGCTGCTAAATTTAACAGCTAGAAAATCGGCATATTATTTGCCGCATTCCCATTCTCTGAGGGGGATAACGGATTGTTAAATGTAAACCTATAACATACATATATCAAAATACATGAAGTTGTCCTGTTTTTTCTGTACAAAAGCATCATGTTGAAATGAAAAAGTGGTCTTGTTTATAATACAGTCGAATTTTCACAATTTTATTCAATATTTCAATAGAAATCACTAATATTCAGAGACCTTTGACAGCTTCTGTCAAATTGTATTTCGATAAGGTTTTTTCCCATTGGTCCATAATATTAATGTTTGTGAATTCGGCCCTTATATAATAAATGATACTAGTTGGTATCTTCAAAATAGCAGTATGCCGAGTTTCACTACCAAACTGTCAAACCAATAAATAACATTATATTCAATTTTTACCGCAACAAAACGAATTTTATGTGTCGTGACGAAACACAATGCATTAAGTCCAAACATTTTTTAGATTTTTCCATTTTTTCTGATAAATTTTGATTATCGATACCTTATTACGTCTATGTATTAGTTTCTATCAAAATAACTCGCTGTTCTAAAAGTATGACAAGGTTTAATAGAAAGTCGTTTTTCGTTAATACCCTCAAAAACATTTTTTAGACAAAATGCGTTTTGAAAAGTTGGTCCTCAATTATGTGAAGGCGTTGAAGTAAATAGCTCCCTCTCTCCCTACATGTCACCCATTGGTTGCTTTAGAGAAAATGAGAGTTTGTTGGCCAGGGGCTGGGGAGGAGTAAGGTGGGGGGGCGCGGTTGCCTCTCTTCTTCTCTGCGTGTGCGCTTTGAACTCTTAGATTTGACGAGACCTTCCCATAATTGCAATCGAACATCACTTACAGGTTCGTTTGATCACGAAATTATTACCTAGTAAGTGCTGTTCCAAATGCTAGGAATCCAAGGTCCGACGGGTCGACCGGCCGAGAATTTTTTGCGCGGTAGTTACGTCCAATTTTCAAGAATTTTTTCTTATTTCTTCGTAATTAAAGTCAGAGTTAGGCTCAGGAAAATTGTTCAGCTCTGCAGGATCGTAATAAAATGCTTGGAGTGAAGATGGAGGATACAAGAAAAGAAAAACCGATTGAGAGGATAGCTAGGGTGACGACAAAATTTGCAAGCGAATGAAAAACAAAATGGTTAAGATTACCGCAGAACACCGAAAAGAAGCTTGATGAAAGCATCGAACATGATGCGTTCGATGGAAGGAAAAATTAATAATCAAACGAACTTACCTGTAAGTGATGTTCGATCTTAATTATGTGAAGTCCTCGTCGAAGTAAATATTTAGAATACATAACGTAGATGTTTCCATTGGAACAACTCAAGTTAGTGCTTTTAACAACAGGTAATATGACGTACATATGTTCAAAAATTACCATACGTTACATGGTTACAAGCAAATAACGTAATACTTAACATAGTTATGTTTAAGCAAAGCTATTGTTTGGCATAAGAGAGTTGTAAGGTGTTTCAGAAAACGCGCTCCAGCCCGCCGCGGGTCTGAGCCTACTATAATTTAGTCGGCACAGAGATAGACGCGTTTCAGGTACCGTGGGATGTCAATTGTGACACACCTAGACCACTCTCTGCTGAAACAGACTTTATCCATCCGGGAACAGAGGCACCGTGATAAAGTTACTTTACAGTGACAAATATTTGTAAATACTTTGCCTGTACAGATATTTGGGCATAAAGTAGGGAAAGACTAAAAGTGGTTGCCACGCTCTCATCTATTGAACTGGAATACAAGTAAGACTTTTGCGTAGATACTTAAGAATCTGGATTTGTAATATGCAGAGTCATCGAATATATTTCAGATTCATATTCAAGGGACAGCTCTTCCAATACAATTCTGTGCCGTTTAGGGTAAATTGTGCCCCTCATGTGTTCACAAAGTTAATACCATTTCTGGCATACGTTGAGGAAAAAGAAATGTGAACAGTTTTTATAGTTATTTCCGTTTATTAGTTTTGTGGCCATCCTCATTTGTTATTGTTAAAAACCATAGCAACGCTACTCGGATATTATCCAAAGCAACCAGTGGCGGATTTAGAGGGGGGCGCGACCCTCCCCTTCCAGACGTCTGACACTTGCTTTTGTAATCACTTGCTTTCTGACACATCATGGCGACAGAGGCATACTAACTATAAGTTATAGCTATAAGAACTGAGCATTGCGATTTTTGGTATCCTTTGGAATTCCAAACGCTGTCCCTCTTCGACATCACTTACGTTTACAGCACAATTCTTACGATTTATACGTATATACGAGTATTGAGACTTGTGACAAGTCTAAGCGCGTTTGTCCACCGCCGCCGTCATCGGACCGTCACCGAGAACGAGATTATTTCGGGCCGAGTTTAATATGACGTAACGGCGATCGTTTGTCCACCGCGACCGATTTCGCTGGTTTAGTTTGTTCCACCTGTCATGCGTGGTAGTCGCGTTTTCGAAGAAATAAAGTGATGGCTAGGTTAAACCGGCGACAACTTATTCTACTATAAGCAGAATAGTGACACAAGTGTGTCACCAAATATGGACTATTTTAAGTGGTGAACACTTGGCTGCGCCTACTACTGAGCGATGGTTATTAATAGTGGAAGGATTTAAACGAAGAGCTAATTTCCCAAACTGCATCGGTTGTGTCGATGGAAAACACATACGGATTGAAACATTTCCGAAATCTGGCACTATGAACTTTAATTATAAGGGATATTTCTCCATTGTACTTCTGGCAGTAGTTGATTCAGATTACAGATTCGTATATGTTGATATCGGTTCATACGGTAAAGACTGCGACTCCGCAATTTTTCAACGTACAAACTTCTATCAACTACTCACTGAAGGCAGGTTGAGTATACCTCCACCTGTTCCACTGCACTCATCTCAAAATAACAGAATGCCACATGTTATACTAGGCGATGAAGCTTTCCAGCTGACTGAACATTTATTACGTCCTTTTGGCGGTAACCATTTAGATGTGAAAAAACGTATTTATAACTATAGACATTGTCGTGCACGAAGATACGTTGAATGTGCATTTGGTATTATGGCCAATAAATGGCGAATATTTCATCGCCCTCTAAATGTAAACAAAAAACTTAGCAAAAGTATAGTTAAGGCATGCATCGTTTTGCATAATATTGTACGTGAAAAAGATGGCTACAGAGGTGAGGATATGTTCATGTCTTTTATGCACGATGGGCTGTCTGATCTACCAAGGGAAGGAAGTGTACTGCATGGTGGGCGTACTGCTAACGGCTCCTCACCTTGGCAGATGAATAAAATCTAAACTTGTAATTACTTAATTAAAAACATAAATAATAAACTATCATGTATTTACTAATTTCGTCTTTGTTTTTCTGGTCCATATCCTCCAAGTTCGGCTCTAAAAAGGCACAAACATCGCGCCATGCATTTCTACGCAAAACTTTATCTTTGGACACTTCCTTGGTTTTATCCCACAAACATTCTTTACTTTCTATAATTTCTATTAATGAATAAATATCGTATTTAAATTTTTTCGCCATTTTTATTGCAATGTTATACTAATTAATGATAATTGATTACAAACAAAATAATAACTGAGCTCGTGTACGGTGCGACGGCGACGGCAGTGTGTGGACAAGTTCATACGTGTTTTGTATTGCCGGCACATCGGCCCGTCAAAATCTCGGGCGACGATCTAGCGGTCACGCCGATCTACTCGCAATTTCGGCGGCCGGGATGACGGCACTCGGGTGACGGATGTGCGGTGGACACGCGGCTAAGTAATGTAATGTAAATGTATGTACCGCTTCTTCGGCGCCGTCATAGGGATGCGCGATATTCTTCAATGTATCGATATTTGGTATCGATCCGTATCGTGAGAAATTGTATCGATACAGGAAAATATCGCTGTAAAAGAATCGATACCTAAGGTATCGATACCTCGATATGGTTATTCTGTAAGTCGTAATCTTATCCGTTACAAAGAAAATTAGGAATCGTGTTTGAATTTAAATCAATGTATGATTGATTAATAAATTTTGGGTTCCAAAATCAAATATATTTGTTTATATAATTTTCACATTTAATCATTTATAACAAAAAAAAAATAAAAAATAATTCTCGTATTAAAAAATACATATATAAAAGAAAATATAAAACAATACAGTTCCAATGTTTAACTTGAACTAACAAGTGTTGATATGTAAAAACTAAAATATTATAATCAACATAAATATAAATATATATAAACCAACATAATACAGGTTTTTCTTCAACTGCTATAAAAAATATCAAAAAAAAAAAACAAAACTATAATAGGTTCCAGTCTTCAAAATTTAAGGAACTTAAAAATAAAAGCTCTGATAATCTTTCTCCACTAAGCCTGTTACGGTTTGGGCTAATAATATTTCCAGCTTTGGAAAAAAGCCTTTCTGATGGAACTGAGGTTCCCACAATAGATAAATATTTATGAGCTATTTCTTTCAACATATGTGACGCGTGTGTGCTCCAGTAAGATAATGGGTCTGACAATATTGGTAGTGTTTGGCTGTTTAAATATATTTTAAAATCATAGTCAAGGCTGTCCCTAGTATCCACCTGCTTTAAAGTGTGTTTGGCAGCTAATTCTTCATGGTAAGCCCATAAGCATTGAGATTTATTTAGTTGAGGTTGAGGCGGTTGAGCACTTTGATTTTGTGAGTTTGGAGCATTTTTCATTTGGTCTTGGTTATGCAATTCACGTAATTGTTGAATTGACTGGTTAATAAAAGTAACAGCATTAGCACATGCCACTGGACTATTGAAATGTAGTTTTTTAAAACGGAGGTCTAATAAGGTTGACACAGCTAATAATTTATTTTGTTCTATAGCCCCAAACCTTTTAGAAAGTTCATTAATTGTTGTAGTTTTTAAAGTTAATATTTCTTTAGAATATGGGGATAAATTTCCAATATTTTTAAAAAGGCAGTTAACAATAGGTATAATCTTACTTGATGTTAAATATTGCTCGCCGCTGACATCTTTTGAAACTGCCTCGATAGGAGATAGAATATTTAAAAGTTCTTTTATTTTTTCCAATTCAGATGCATCTAACATGGCTGGTGACTTTGGGTTTTTTAGTAAAATTGGAGCTATATATTCATATAAGTTAGTAAATCTGTCCAACATGTAAAAGGTCGAATTCCACCTAGTTGGCACAGATTGTATTAATCTTAAAATGTTATTTTCTGGCTGTGCTCTTCTTAAATCATCGGGTGCCGATGCCGCAACTTTCTCAATCCGCGGATCGTATGATCCGATATACAAGCAAAAGTATCGATATTAGTGATGTATCGCATTGAAAACATCGATACAAAATATCGGGTATCGAAAGCAGAAGTATCGATACTTTAAAAGATCGTATCGTATCGCGCATCCCTACGCCGTCATCTAGTTCTCGGTGACGTGACGGTGACGACGGCGGTGGACAAACGCCGTAAGTCTAAGCAATGTATTAGCTATACAGATTGCACGTAAAAAGTGATTTATGTTCTGTTTGTTGTTCAATAGTAAAGTGTGTAAAGCTTGACTGATTTTGTTCGGGGTTGGTGTTGCAGCGAAGCACTATTAGTCTAATCATATTACACAAAAATACCCCTGGTTTGCAAAATAATTCTTAAGTCTGGTTTTATTGCTGCAAGTTGCTCAAGGGGGTATTCAAAACATGGACGCATAAAATGGGTATACAAATTTTTGTGGGAAAACTTTTTATTCGACAACAAAGAATGAGAAAACGTGTTTTTTGGGATTCAATCTAAATAATTGACAGGGACGACAAAATTCTCCTTATAAGATTTTTAAGTATTTATCACACCTACAAAATGAGACCACACATAAAAGATCCGACTAATAGCAAAAAAGTTATCGCCGAAAACCGAGGCAAACTGCAGGTCCTGGCTCGTGTTGGTAATGCGACGACGGTTTCTCCCAGATATTTGAAATTCTTCAAATTCGTAAGATTGGACCTTCTAAATAACCACAACAAAATTGGAGTAAATTGGTCAAGTAGTTTGTGAGAATTTCTAATTGTTTATCCCAAGACATCTGTTTTCCGGCCATCACTACTACTAGTTTTTTTGAGCAATATACATGGGTTAGCTCAAAGGGAATTTTATAGCAAAAATATAAAGGATGGGTCTTCTATAATAATTTAAACATTTCGTATTTGTGAGTCACTCGCAACAAAAGATGATAGATACATCCGCTTTGTTTTAAAATGTGTATAATAACGTATGCATTTCGAATACCGTAGTGCATTTGCTCAATTACTCTCAAATATGAAATGTTTGAATTCGCTTAGAAGAAAACAACGTAACATTTGTTTTTCGCATAAAAATAACATTTATCTTTCGGAGTGGTTTGTAATTGCAAGGTAAATTAGTGTATTTTGCTGTAAAATGCTCTTTGGACTAATCCTGTATATAGCTCAATAAACTAGTAGTGACGTCCGAAAAACAGGTGTTTTGGGATAAACAATTAGAAATTCTCAAAAAAATACTTTACCATTATACTCCAATTTTGCTGTTGTTAATCAGAAGTATGAATCCTGCGGATTTGAAGAATTTCAAGTAGTTGCGTAAAATTATCGTCGCATTACTAACAAGTGCCAAACCTGCATTTTGCCTGGTTTTTAGGCCATAACATTTTAGTCGGATCTTTTTAGGTGTGCTCTCATTCTGTAGATCTCATAAATATCTAAAAATCTTACGTAAAATGTTTTTTCATCTTGGGATAAACAATTAGAAATTCTCAAAAAATACTTTACCATTATACTGCAATTTTGCTGTTGTTAATCAGAAGTATGAATCCTGCGGATTTGAAGAATTTCAAGTAGTTGCGTAAAATTATCGTCGCATTACCAACAAGTGCCAAACCTGCATTTTGCCTGGTTTTTCGGCCATAACATTTTAGTCGGATCTTTTTAGGTGTGCTCTCATTCTGTAGATCTCATAAATATCTAAAAATCTTACATAAAATGTTTTTTCGTTCCTGCCCACACTTTTGACGGAATCCCAAAAAACACTTTTTTCATTCTTTGTTGTCAACTAAAAGGTTTTCCCACAAAAATTGGTGTAACCATTTTATGCGTCCATGTTTAAAATGCGCAGTTTAACATTTTGCACCAGTAAAACCGGACTTTTCAATTATTTCGGGAAAATTTGCTAATATGATTAGACTATAGTTAGATAAACGCCTACGTTGGAAATATACATTTATGAGATTTGCTTAGCGGTGCGCCTGTAGCCTGTCCAGAAAATGCGTTGATCCATGCTCAAAGTCAATACCACACGTCCCGCATTTCTTCCCGCGTATGTTTCTATTTATGTTGCTATATTGGAATTCGTTTAAGTCACAGAGCTTCTGCACTACACGTGAATATGTACAGCCGTATATTCATGTTCTTGTTTCGTACAAACATACATTATCAAAATAATTACGATCTAACATATATAGTTTTCTCCAAAGATTTCCAACATTTTTACATGCGATCAACACCGATTCGAAAACTGAGAAAACAACAACTATGCCGTAAATCTAAGTTCGACAACGAACGTCTGAAGAATAACTGTAACACTTATATTGAATTTAAAAAAATAATGGACTATACCTATTGATATTTTTATCACCTGCTGATATAATAGCAGTGCTTGATTGTGTCAGTATTTACTCCAATTACTTGATTTGTTTAACGAGTTGTTCACGAGTATTAATCCTTAAGCTTAGTACACACTAGTAGACCCCGTTGCGCAATTTGTCTGTTGGCAGTCTGGAGACGGTCTCAAGACACGATCTATAGATGGTCTATAGACATCCTTCTTTGTCTCATCTAGGGTCCATACGATAATGTGAATTTTTGTTGTTGTTGATAGGTTGTTGTGCACTCAAGTTCAGGCTTTTAGCAACAGGTAATATGACGTACCTGGTTAAAAAATTGCCATCCATTACATGGTAATAAGTAAATAACGTAATAACATAGTTATGTTTATGGTGTGGAGACTTGGTTCGCCTCAAATGCCGCTTGAGCAAAGCTATTGTTTGCATAAGAGATTTGCGACGTATCTCAGAAGGCGTACTGCAGCCCACCGCGGGCCTGAGACTACTATAATTTAGCAGGCGGGGAGAGGTAGACGCATTTCATGTACTGTGGGCTGTCAATTGTGACACTCTCTGCTAAAACCGACTTCATCCATCTGGGAACAGGCACAATGATGAAGTACTGTACAGTGACAAATAAATAATAGGTATATTCTTTAATTCATCGATTGATTCCATCACTGATGGATCCGGTGAACTTATGGTTGACAGCTCATGTGGTGACGTCAGCAACCGGTCCCCTTGAATAAATAGACGCATTTTTAGCCTTCAGGTTGCTGTCATATGACAAAACCTAACCTTTGTTTTATCGTGAATGGACGCTTATTAGTTTGAACTCCCTATCATTTAAAATCATTATGGCAATTTACGCATCAGTTGGTATTGTGGTGGAACGTCTGTTAAGCGAGTCGAGTGATGATTCGGATGAAGAACTTATCCAGTGGAGAGAAAGAGCAACTCATACCAAAATTGAACAGTATGCATGTAGATACAGTAGTAAACAGTTAAAGTTTGAGTGACTTTAAATCACATTTTCGGCTCACAAGGATCCAAGTTGAGGTAAGTGTTAGCCTTTATCTTCAATACTCGATCTATTTTAACAAATCGAGAATTTTGTCATTCGTTTATTTTCAGGATTGAAAACCAAAAAGGAGATTCACACTGTTGCGAGGCCAGCTAGTAAGCTGTTAACCTGTGTTCTATTAAGCCTTTGGACTTTGGCTAATCAAGAGTGCTTTCGAAGTATCGCCGTTAGATTTGGAGTGAGTCCTGGGAATGCTCTCACCATTTTTATGAGAACGTGCAAATTAATATGTCTTCTCCAAGATAAATATATCAAGTGGCCAACAGGTGCAGACATAGTTAAAACTGTGGAAGATTTCATACTTTGCGTGGCCAAAATTATTTTCCCGATGTGATAGGGTGTATAGATGGTAGCCATATAGCTATCAAAGGTGCACATCATGCTTCAAATGACATAGATTTCTGTATGATTACCCTCAGATAAATGTTGATACATTAGTCATATTTATACTTATAGGGGAAAGAGGGGTAAGATGGCGACAGTAAGCTTATTATACATTTTTCTCAATGCAATTTCAATTTGGTATCTTGTGCTCAATTTTAACATTAACTTGAAACATTAAGAAATAAAGAGAATTATCAAATACTTAAATATTTTGAGATTTTCTATTTAATTTTTTACCTTACAAATTGGATGTCAAGTTCGTTATCTTGCCCTCGTAGGCGGGTAAGATGACACAATATTGGGAGGGTAAGATGACGAAAAAAAAATTATATTTAAAAATTAATTATATTTTTATTAAACTTGACAAAAGTCACAAACATATGGTACGATTTGCCTCTGATGCTGTAAGACCAGTACAGGCGGCATGCACCCATTTACTACAAGAGGAGCATATCAAAGTTCATCTTTGTCTGATTCACTGCTGATTAAACAAACTTCTTCTGTATCTCCGACGTAATCGATGTCATCACTTTCCATATAATCTATTGATATGTAGGAATTTGAAGACACACTGTCATTATGAAACTTTATTTGTCTAACATGTTTCTGCTGTTTTTTCTTTTGTGTGGCCATCTTTTTCGGTTTATTAGCATTTCTTCTAGCTTTTTCAGCTTTTCTTTTTTCTTCTCCCCTTTAATTTTTTTCTCAGCTTCTTTACTTTCCAAGGCATCCCTAACAGCAGTACTAGTTATATTCAATGACGGCAATTTCTTTCTTGGTTTTTTTTGTCGTGGGAATAGCAACAGGGAGTTGAGGCAAGCCAAATAATGTTTTAGAAGGTCCAGGTGTATGTTCGAGGGTAGCAAGTGAACTTTTTTTAGATGGTTCTGCTATAACTTCAGAGTTTACAAGTACTAAAGAAGCATTAGTATCACTTGGGTTTAATTCAGTAGTAGCTGTAGTTTGTATTGACATATCATTGTCTGGAGAGGGGTTTTCTCTATTAAGATCCTTTGACACTTTTAATGGTTTATCTGTCGTCATTGAAGGGTCATAGTCAGAAACATCAAAAATTTGAGAATTTAGTGGGACCAAACCGGTTGCTTTAAAACCTTGAACAGCATTTTTTATTGTGGCAACCTTATTGTAAGCCACACTGAAAATCCCTGCCACATCTTTAATTGTAATGACTTGACCTGGATGTTGCATTAAATAATCATTGCATGCCCGGCTATAAGCGGTTTTAAAGGGTCCGTAAAGAGACACATCCAACGGTTGCATACGATGACTTGTATGAGGAGGAAAACCCAAAACATCAATAAAGTTTTTTTCGACATAAAGTTACTGCCGGTAAAGTTACGTGCGACGAATGGTTGTCCATTAAAAGTAAAATAGGATTGTACTTGGAAGGCCTCACATTAAATTGTTGTAACCACAAAAGAAAGGTGTCCGCGTTCATCCACCCTGATTCATTACATGCTCCTGAAAATCCCGTAGGTGCACCATTTAAGAAATTCTGTTGCATTCTTACTCTCGGGAAAATAAAGAATGGAGGAATATATTGGCCCACAGCACTAAAACAACATGCCACACTGACATTTGGCACAGTAGGACAGCCGGTCTTATCTATATTAAAGATTTGATGAGGAGCGTAATTTGTTTTGGCCAACACTTCTTGATATAAAGTAAAAAATGCTTCGACACTTGTTCTATTAAAAGGTTGCAATCTCGCTGCGGAAGTAGCTTAGGGTTTTCTTAACGAAAAACAAATGTTTTCATAAAGTCTTGAATAAAGTATTTTCCTGCCTTCTTAGTAATATTGTTAAAGCGGTGAGAAATCCTAAGCGTTTCGGCATAATCATAGAGCATTCTTGCAAACTGTTCTCGAGTTATACCAAATGCTCTTTTATTTACATCTTCTACATACTATATTGCCTTAGATTTTCCATTTGCTCATTTGTAAATGTGAATCTAAATCTTTCGGCACTAAGTGACATATTCTAAAAATAATTTTTAAGCATACAAAAAAGTTATCTAATATTGCATAAAAATAATAACAATTATAATATAAACAATAACGTTATTAAATAATTAGTTACCTCCTCAGAATATTTCTTAGCGTAGCCTCGCAATGTAGCTTCTGGAAGTTTATATTTGTTTGCTGTGCCATTTACAGACGATCCATCCGTAAAGTAAATTCTTCTATAGCAGCTATCATCGCTTCCTTAGACTAACTTTGCCGATTTGTCTTTCGTTGATATATTTTTAACATGTTGTTTCTTGCAAATAAATCGTAAACCCTATTTTCAAATACTGATTTACAGAGATCGGGTAAGATGACGAACTCGTCATCTTATCCGCTTGGAAGATTCGTCAACATACCCGACACCAACATTTTATATAAATTTAACAATAAACAAAAACCCACATGTATTTTAAGAAAACTTAATAGACATTGCACATATAATAATTAAACATTTATGAAAATACTTACTGCGTAGAAAAATCCCTAATTCACAACCACAAAACCACGATTTTTACAACGACATATACACAATACTTAAATGTCATTAGCGTACCGCACACATAAGACTGAATGCAAGTTTCATAGACTAGGGAGTAAAAAGTGATGCTAATGGGTCATATATTTCACGTACGTGGCGCTATCTAGTAAGAGTATCCGAAAATAAACAATGAAGAAGTTTCCTATTTTTCAAAATGATAGCGCTGATTTTTTTTTTTTTAATATCGGGAAAAATAAAAAAGTTATGCTAGTCAGTAGTTTATTATTTGGAGAATCGTGTGGTGGACCGTGCTAGTGAATGATGACGTCACATGACGGAAGCTTATCAGCCCAGCACTACTGCAAGGAGATGCGCCCGCCGCGCCGCGCCACACACGCTTCCCCCTATTATTAACAATGACTAAAAAGTGGGTCAAACATTCAACCTATAAATATTTTATTATACCTAGGTGTACAAATACTAGCATATCAGCAGAATTAGAAAGAAGTGATGCAAGGTAATGAATAGAGACGATAAATTGCCGCTGTCGGAAAAATCAACGTTGTTTTGTTGTGAATCCCATTTTGATGTAAGCAGCTAATTAGCTAATACCTATGATATAAATGGTAGCAATAATAATTATTATTAGTCTTAGTCTGTATGCCTCGCATGATAAGGTAAAGAATCTAAATTGTTTAAAGGAGAACCGAAATAGATTTGATTATTGCTTTCATTTCGGGATAATGATTTATTTGTATACTCGTAGTGATCATCTTGTGGCTGTAGGGGAACACTGTTCAAACCATGTTTGTGTCGGCGCGGCGATGCATAGGCGTCGGTCAAGTGTGGGCTTAATGTGTAATCATCTAAGAGGCTTCTATCAATTTTAGATTACTGCCAACAGTAGATAATCTGGTTCATGGTGGTTCTTCGCTTCTTCTGTGCAGCCACATTAATAGCGCTACACCATGCTTACAGCCACCCTCTTGTGCAGCACAACCACTGCATTCTAGCTTGATAACTGTTTCCTCCTTTTCGTCGCATTCAAAACTGCAATGACACGGATTACTTTTAACTCTATGTTCGGGCGTAATCCTGGCTTTTACAATACAGAGAACCCGTTCTCTTTTTGACTGCACATAACCGATCGCCTCGTCTCCATAGGTGTCTCTTCCAGACCTATACCTAATGACAACACCCAAAAATGAATGACGAATCATTGATTCTACTGCTGGTTAACAAATGGACATCGTGAATTGTTACGAAAGAATTATTAAATTGCTGTGAGTCAACACCGGACGGCCATCAAGTCTTATTGGCGTTGGATTAAATTTCAGTTCAAACAGTTGATTTTCTGGTCACTGCGCGATTTTGAATTTATTGTTTATCAAACGTATCCGCTGGAGTTTGGGTCATCCTTAATTATTTGATGCATGCAAAGCATGTTTCCATTTTCGTCTATTTATAAAATTAACTGACACCACGCGTCCTACGTAAAGTTGATAATTAAAAACAATTTTATAGTCCAGAGTATATGGTATAGTCGCAGGCAATGGGTTGAAAAAATGGGTTCACGTTACCAGAGTTGCATAGAATAAACTTTAATATTTACTTACTTACGTATTTCCGTGCCGACATAAAGTGGATTGTTTATGAAGAAATTCATTACCATTATTATGGCCACCTTCAAAAGATTTGTGGAATCGGCTCGTAAAAAAACTTCTTGTTAGCTTGAGCGCTAAGGATGTATGCGATATGCGTGTCATCCGACCGCTTCCCTACCGACGCGCGACGTTCCGTCATGTGACGTCTCTACCGAACCTCGACGCGCGAGGCCGATCTGCTACAGCAGCCAACACAGAAAATGCCATAACTTCCTTAAATTTAAAGTTATTGGAATAATTCTTTCAGATTTGTCAGAGATACCAGTTATATTATCGGATGCAGGTAACACAGCAAGTATTTTCGACTATAGGAAACTTCCTAATTCGTAATCTTAGCCGATACGTCATCTTACCCTCCTCTCCCCTTCATTTTGTACAATTACTTATTTTTGTAAAATGCACATTGGTCTTTGGAACTCTTTTCGATGTCATATATATGGAAATAAAATATTCAACACACATAAGTATTTTATATGTACCTGAAGGAATATCTTTACTACAAATTATTCAATGCAAAAATTTTTGAGGGATTTTGCAGATTACCCAGTATTTATATTGTGTGATCTGCAAAATCCTTCGCCAATTTTTTTGACAGCATTCTTCCGCCAAGCCAACTTTTGCTGGGCGGGTTCGAATCCCGTCCCAAGAGAAATTTTTCTCTTGGCTATGGATGTTGTGATTGTCCGTAGATTGTCCCGGCGGATTTCGTAGGCGGGGCCAGAATGTGTGCATGCTGCATGCACACGTGTTCCCTTGCCAGAGTCCGTGTGGCGTCCCCCCCTTCACCCCTGTATCCACCTATAGCCCCACGGTACCCTATGGGTGTTTAGGCCTTAGCCCTTCGTGGCACTTGGAGTATAAGAAAATGCCTTAGTCTTGGTAAATAAAAAAAAAATATAAAAAAGGATTCACAATATATCTTTATTAAAATAAACAAGGTAACTTAATATCTATCACAAAACAAAATAAACAGGTACTCTGAGGCAGGTACGTGAAAAACTAAAAAATATTTAACTCGAACATAAAACTATTAAGAATTATACAACTATGCATCACTTCATTTGGAATGTGCAGAACTTCTAATAGTATCTGCTAAATTGTGGACAGCTTCTATTTCTTTCTCTTTTAAAACTTTTTTCTGTCCATATCTCTTTAAAAAAAAGATATTCTTGTAATGACAACTGTTTTTTTGCGAATATCTTTGTTCGTACCCTGTTTTTAGTCTTCTGAGGAATCTATGTCTTCTGATTTCGTACTTTCGTTGATGGATGAGCTTAGGATCTGTGGTGGAGACATACTTTTTTTCTTGGAGGGAAATTCCCCAAGAGATATCTGAGACCGAATATCTAGTATCCGCATTCAGGTTATGCCACCTGGGCTAAAACCCCCTCCCCCAACCTCATGCTGGGATTCGCCTGCGCTTTCTACCAGCATGACTGTCTCACACATGTCTTTGTTTCCTCGGCGGTTTCTGCAGTACAATTTCCATGTATATGTCCTAGGAGTTTGGGCTGTCCGTTCTTCTTTCATCCTTGTCTTTAATGGATAGTATTTCCCGGAAGAATCTGTGTATTTTTACCCACGATTGGTTATTCGCCATCATGGTGCTGGTCAGATTACTTTCCGTCAGGTCGTGTCCTAGGCTATCAACGACTTGTGCCCTTTTTTGCTCCCATCTCTTGCACTCGAAGAGAGTATGTGCAACTGTGTCTTTTTTTTTTTGACAATATGTGCATTCATCGCGGTCTGATTTCTGCATTCTCTTCGTGAATACTCGAAAAGAACCATGCTGCGTCAGTGGCTGCGTTAAGTGGAAATCCAGTCGTCTGTGCTTGCAAGCAATCCACTTCCCGATGTCAGGTATTAGCTTTTTCGTCCACTGAGCCACGTCCTCCGTTAAGTGCCACTCGTCCTGCCATTTACTGATTGTGATCTCGCGCTCCTCCCTCTCCCTTCTGGGCCTCGCGGTTCTCCCATCTTCCCTGCGGTGCAGCCTCACTCTTTCTTCCACAAGCAAGTGGATCGGTGTTATACATGTGATAATTTGTAAGGCCTTGGTGGAGACGGTCTTGTAAGCACTCGCCACCCTTAGCAGCATCTTTCTTTGCACTCTGGTGAACATGTGCCTGTAGATTGGGGCGCCGTAAAGTAATGTTAAAAGCACCACGCTGTTTATAACCTCCCTCTTGTTGCTGGTAGGTCCGCCGATGCTCGGCATAATTCTTACTAACCATGCTGCTTTTCTGTCTGCTTTTGTTGCCGTTGCCCGAATATGCTCCCGAAAATGGCCTCCGTCTTCCAAGTGAATTCCTAGGTACTTAACAGGCTTCTTTGGTGTTACGAAAGTTTCCCTGCAGTTTATTTATTTATTTATTTACAAATTTACGGGATAAACTCATTCGGTTACAGGTTGTAAAAGTACAATCTTAACCTAATAAAATTCACACACATCATAAATAAGGTATCTAACATATGAACATAAAGTTTGACTATTTACTAAATTAAAATATTAAAATATTAAAACGTGCATAAAAATAGTTACAAACAAATACTAAAAAAAAAAAACTAAAAAAACTGAACAACTAAACAACACAGCAAACATCACCAGCAATTAAGACATTTTAAAACTTTAGCTAAGATTTCTATCTTTAAGGAACTTTTTGAGAGAGCATAGTGAAGTATTAAAAAGGTCTATATCACAGTCATTACAATTTCTCATTATCCTATCCATGCTACTATTCGAGCCATACAAAGTTCTATGCCGACAAGGTTCAAAGGATCTTCGTTCTCTTAAATGCCTAGGAGAAACATAAAAATTTAGCTTTAGAAGCAGGTCTGGGCAGTGGTAAACACCATGAATTAATTTATAAGCAAAAACAATATCTGCTGAATCTCTCCTGGCTCTTAGGGATCCAATCCTTAACTCCTTTTCAAGAGCATTATAGTCTAAATTTTCAATAGAAATGTGTTTTTTGTAAGCTATATATCGTAGAAATTTTCTCTGAACCCCGTCAAGCATGTCCAGCAGCAGCAGTTAAACGTGATACCATTTTTGTTCCGCTTCCCCTTTATGATGACAGCTTCTGTCTTCTGCGGTGCGCATTCCAGGTGATGGGCCATCAGCCAGTTGTCCACTATCCTCGGGGCTAAATTTGCCGTATGCATAAGGGCCTCCTCATCCTGCGCTACCACTATCACTGCCAAGTCGTCCGCGAACGCAGCTGCTTTTACACCATGTGGCCATTTACTCCTCAGTACCCCATCGTAGACCAAATTCCATAGAGTATGGCCCAAGACTGAGCCCTGCGGTACACCGGATGTTATATCTAAGGTCTCTTCTCTGGCTATCCGAAGCCTTCCGCTGAGGTAGGCACCTATGAGATTTCGGAGGTATGGTGATATTTTCCTTGTTTTCAGCTCCTCTATTATGTTTTCCCACGGTAGCGAGTTGAAAACGTTTTTGGCGTCGACTGTGATGAGAACGCCCCATTTTTCCCTGCTGCCCTTAATGGTTTTAAGGACTTCATCCACTGCCATCAACGTATTTTTACCTTTTCTGAAACCATACTGGAACTCTGATAGGCCACCCTTGTAATCTATTTCCTTCTGTAGCCTAGCAAATATTAATAACTCATATAGCTTGCTAATTGTCAAGAGCAAGCAAATGGGTCTGTACTTGCGTTCTCCTTTCGGTTTGACCCGTTTCCAAGATTTCGGGAACCTCTGTGTGGTGAGAAGGTGGTTTAAAAGGCCCAAAACCCAGGTTGGTGACAGTTTCGAAGCCTCTTTAATGCTTCTGGGGGTATACCATTAAGACCGGGGGCTCTACCCATTTTGAGTTTTCCTATGGCTTGTTTGAATTCCTCTTCTGTGAACATGTTTTCGTTATTGACCGTACTGTAGCCCCTAACTGTGTGTGGTGGGAACAGTTATTCTGCTATCTCCTGCTTTCGTTCTTTTGTCATGCTATACGGCGCGAAACATCGGAATTTTTTCATTACAATCCGATATCCGGCTCCCCATACGTCCTCGTTAATGCTGTCACAAAGTTCGTTCCAGTATTTTTTCTTGTACTCCATGATCATTTGCTGAAACGTTTTTTTTGTGGCTTTTATACAAGGAGCTAGCTTCTTCGATGATCGCTTCCGTATGTCTGTGCCTGTGTTTGACGAGCCTCATGATGGTTCTACGTGCCTTGTGACACTTCTGTCTCTGTTGAGAGATATCGTTGCTCCACCAGTAGGGCATTCCGCTATGATTGTTATTAGTAGTGAGGCTAGTATGGTAAGCTTCTTTAATGGTGGCAGTAAAGTTTTCCTCTGTATGCGGCTTTTCTGGGTATTCTACGAACTTGGACGATAGTACCTGTCTAAAGACTTCCCAGTTACACGTCTTGGTTGAGCACCAGGATTAAGCTTTTTTGAAGCTAAGCTGCTTATCTACCTCAAAGTATATATATTTGTTGTCTGTCATGCTATCCTCATCAAGGACGCTCCATTTCTTCATGTTTTCTGCGATCTTCTGTGTCGAACATGTGACATCTATATAGGATTCTGTGCTACCTCTAACAAAAGTGGGGTTATCTCCGGTGTTATGCACAACCATGTTTGC